ACAATTTATAATTAATAAAGTACCAATTTTGGGCGTTGTAGGGGTGCTAATCCTTCCCTAAACGTAACCGACCACGAATCCCTTTTTATTAATAAAAAGAACGAATTTTTGGTTATAAACGCAGATCGGCTTATCTTTTAATCGATGTTTTCTTAAAAGCTCTTTTAAAAGATGATTTTTAGGTATTCGACCTACCTGACCCAAAAGGCCGATGGCGACTCCCAAATTATTTTAAAAAACCATTTATTCACATCACTTTTCCCGCCAAGTATAAAAATTCGTGCCCGGACGAAAACCGGTTACGACACACTTCATCTTAGAAAAAGTGATCATGGAAAATACAATAGCATTAAATATCTAATTAGTAAATTTTATCATTCTTATCGTCATATATGAATTGACGAGATTAATTTTTACTTATTCTGTTAAAGAGATACCCCATGATTCACACGCACAAAATTTCTTTTCCTTTTACGTATACTTAATACTCTATTCATCAGGGAAGAAATAATACCTAAAAGAACCCATTTTAGGGTTTGACCTTGCTGATAAACACACGTTAAAGAGAGAGCAAGCCGAGTGAATAAAGGCATAAAGAGTGGGAAAAGCAGGACATTTGCTTCAAGTAACTCCAACCACATGAGCGTATATGTATGATGATTTGTAGTTGAGTGAAGAAAGTAAACAGATTACGCTCCTTTTGGGTTGCTAAAATACAGGTAACAGAGATCAAATGCATGCATATATACCCCATAAAGAAGCCATAAATTCTTTCTCTTTTCCGTATCCTTTTTCTCGTGATTTTCTTTTTATGATTTATGCAAGAAAAAACCAACTTTCTTGATATGTTTTGTTAGCATTACGGTCTGAATATTAATAAGTTTGGTTGGTATTTCCATCCGTGTCTAAACAAAGAAGCTAACTGATTTAGGCAGCGTACGGAATTGGAAATTGCTACAATTTATTCCATTAATGGGTTATTTGGATTAGGCTTACAAGTTTTCCATTTGAGGAAGAGCAATATGGGCAAGTCTTAGGCCCATCTTAACCCAACCTCGATTTGAGTTTAAATATAATTTTATTTATCTTAAATTAGTTTAAATTTAATCAAAGAAACGATTTAGTCTCCATCCGATTTAATATATTTTTTATATATATTAAAATAGGAAAAATAATACTAATTTACTCAATTTAGTAACATAAATTATCAAAGTAAATTTTATTTAAATCTCATGATTCTATAATTTTTTATCTATTTTTAGTCAAAAATCTAATTATTAATATATAAATGATATTTTTTATAATTATTCAAAGATAGGTCGTATTTCTCTTAAACTTAAAAAATTGATTTGATCTGAACTTATATTTTTTTTAAAAGAAATCGATCGAATAAGAGATTTTTTACCCTCTATTATTAGAGTTCCATTCACAGAAGATTTGTCTTGAGATACTCTAACTTTTCATGTGATAATCATCACTGGGCAAATGGGGACCAACATTTTCCTATTCAATACACCATTATGGCATGAACTCTACAAGGAACAAACCAACAACTACTTAATTGAGTGATGATTATCACATGAAAAGTTAGAGTATAAAATTCTAAAATTGATGATATTAAAATACAGAGATTCTAAAATTGATGATATTAAAATACAGAGATTAATAACAAAATTTAATGTAAATTATAGATTTTGTCTATAAAACATATTCATCTTTAGTTCTTGTATTTTTTTTAAACTTCAATTTTAATTTAAACAATAGTTATAAAATTTAATATTTATATTATTTTTTAATTATTTTTAACCATAGAATTTAACCGCCATTATTTGAGTTATAGACTGAAATTTTAAAATGATATCACTGAACATGACCAAACAAAAATATAAAATTAAACCCATAATATTTTTAATAGTCTGATGTGATTATAATATAATATTTATTCAAAATTTTAGTAATCTATTGACAACATATTTCCTACATACGTAACTGCTTGAACCCAAAACCTCTAAAGAGAAAAATATTCTTTTTTTACCACTAAAATCACTTGATGAGTTCAACTAAACCCATAAGTTAGATCTAAAATAAGAGCTAATAACAAAAATTAATGTTTAATATATGATATTAATGTAAAGAAGCTTGCAAATGTGGCTTTCATGGCACTTAAAAAAGGCAATTAGAGAATATATTACAAGTGGAATGGGAATCATTTAAAAAAAAAACCATTCCATGGTGATTTTAATAAACCCATATATATCATTTGCTTTTGACTTTGTTGTATATCAAACAAAAGGTGGAAAATCGAGAGTCATACCAATCACTTCTTCACACCCGCATATCATTATATTTTGATTTGTTAGTTTGTTCTATATTTATTTTTAGGTAAAAAAGTACGTGAGACTCTTGTACTTTTAAAAAAGATTTAATGTGACTCTCATCGTTGTGACCCTCAAACTTTGAAAATAAATTCAGTGTGACCTTGTGACTAACGGTTTATGTTATTGAACGTTACAATGATGATATGACATTTCATGGTGTTGATGTGGAGTCCACAGTGGCTGTTGATGTGATAGATGATGTAGCAGAGGGTTTAAATTAGTTTTTTTGGTCGAGTTCGAGGGTCAAATTGGGTTTTTTTTAAAAGTTCAAGGGCTTATTTGATTTTTCAAAAAATTATTTTAAATTTTAAATTTAAACTATGCAAATATAGAAAAAAAAATTAAATATAGATATACTAAAAATAACAATTAAATTACTAAAAAAATTATATATATATATATATATATATATTTAAAAAAAATTTAAAAATAAAATTACTAAAGAAATATGAAGAAAAAAATGAATACTTTGACCACCGATCAAATATACTTACTCAATATGGTCCTTTAAATTTATTATTTTTAACTTAAAGGTTGAGATTTAAAAATAATTTAAGTATCATAATTTTGAAAAAAAATATTCCCGAGCAAGTATATTTGATCGGGTGGTCAAGTTGCTCATTTTTATTCTTCATATTTCCTTAGTATTTTTAAAAAAAATTCTAAATATATATTTAATTTTTTAGTCATTTAATTTTTATTTTTAATATTTTTGTATTTAATTTTTTCTATATTTTTATAGTTTAAATTTAAAATCTAAAATATTTTTTTTTGAAAAATTAAATAAACCATTGAACTTTAGAAAAAAAACTCAATTTGATCCCATAACTCAACTAAAAAAATTCTAAGTTTGAGGCCCACATTGTTTTTTTAAGTACAAGGACCACACAAACCCTCTTGCTTTATTTTTATGATTTATGTTAGAATAATGAATTTAAGTGAGTCGAGTCATAATTAAATATTAATAAATTTGAACTTAATTTATAACTTAACATTTGATATTCAATTTGAGTTTGGTTAAACATTAATTTTTAAATTCAGACTCGACTCAAGATATGATCATTATACTTAAATTTCAATTTGATTATATTCATTTATAATATTTTTTATTGAAATTTCAGATTCGAACTCGATTAAACTCTGTCTCATTCAATAATATATACAATAAGGGTATAGATGTAATTTAATAATATAAGGATAAATTGAAGTTGGAAGACTCGGCTCGATTGATGAGCATGGGTTGCCACATGATCCTAAATTCATTTTTTTATATATAAATTTTATATACAAATATTAGAAAAATAAAATTAACACAACTTTATTTTTTTTACACTTTTTAAAAGGAAATTGACACAAACCGCTTAATTTGACCTAGTTTTAAAAAAAATCTCTCTTTTATATATATATATATATATATATTTTAAAATTTTGGCACCATAATTTTTAAATATTTAAATTTTATCATAGTTCATAAGTCATTCGAGTAGAATATTATGATACTTGAATTACACTTGATCAATAACTCAAATTATTTAAGCTTAAATTCAACTCGATAATTATCAAATCAAATTTATATTTGTTTAATCAAATTTAAATAACTTATATATATATATATATCTCATTACATCCTATTCATAATTCGTGATTGGTCAAAAGATTCTGAAGTATTCAGTTATCAAACTTAACTTCTTATGTTAAAAATAATTATAATTAATGAGCTAAAAGAACTATTAAAATGAAGCTGAAGTTGAAGTTGAAGAAGAAGAACAAAGCGAATAGGAAAGCCCCAACTTGTCCGAAGTGTAGTAATGGCAACAAAAACATGTTAATCAGAGGGTCCATGGATCTAAAAGGCCTATCAAAACGAGTGATGGACTCAGTAGCCCCAATTTACAAAGCTACTGAAATATTGTTTCTTTAATTTTCCATTTAAAAAATAATAATTTAGCTTCTCTTCTCCTGCCATTATGCTGGTTTTTCATCTATCATCAGCTGCTGCATGCCAAACATCTGCAACTTCCAAACTACCCATCAAAATGTCCTTTGTTGTCTCTCTCTTTTCACCGCTTTCCCCTTCTTCTTTTCTCACATCTCTTTGCCTCCACTTTCTCTTGTTCCTCTCATCAAAGCAGAGACAAAGTACTCAGCTTTCTCCTCTTTCCTTGTAAAACCTGAATTTTCCCCAAGGATCCTTTGTTTTGATGCTAAATACTGCATGTTTAGGTGTAAAGGAAAGTGCCCATTTCCCTTTTTTCCTTGATGATTCTCTTGGTTCAGTCGGTCGAAGCCATATGTTGGCCCCTTTTGGTTCTTTCAAGCTTGGGCTTTAGTTTTCTCGAGTTTATCTCTGATCTACTTGCAGATCTTCAAGACTTTGCTCTTTCTGGGTTCTGCCCAGTTTTTCCTAATTCCCCTCTCTCGTTTGATACAATTCTTTGAGAATTCAGCTGAGGATTCATGGTGGCATCTTTGGGGGTGGGTTAGTGTATGCTATTTGTAGCTTTAATTGAATACAAAAAAGCTTCTATTTTGTTCTTTGAGAAGTCAGCTGCATATTTTATGTGAATCTATTGCTGGGTAGTTGTAGTTTCTGATCTTAAGATTATTAGATAAACATTTAGTTTCTGTCAATTTTAGTCTGTTCTTGTTCTTCTTTTTTCCCTCAGTCATTCCACTTTTTGACTTTGTTTAAGAGGAATCGTTTTTAGAGTAAAAGCTTGTTGCCATATTCAAGTTTTTTTTTTCTGTATGGTTGTATGGTGGTTGTCTTATTCCCAGCTAATTTACCTTTGCTAGAACCCCTTTTTGTCTAGTTTTATTGGGCATCTTTGGCTATGTGAATAGGTAGTCAAGTATATTCTGTATTGTAAATGTCCTTTTGGTGCTTTATGTCAAAATGTCTGGAAATAGCCATTGTTTCGTCGAGTGGAAGGAGGAGTTTGTTTCACAGGAGCGCGGCAATCGTGTGGTTCACTATTTCTTGAAGGATTCCACTGGGGAATCCATCCGTGCTGTTATCGGTACTGAGAGGAGTGTTAGGCACATGTTTTACACTGTTGCTGAGGAGTTTGTGAGAGCATATGGTGCTGAGCATTCGATTCATGCTGGTTTCAAATGGAGGTCAAGAAGAGAGGTTGTGGATTGGCTTACATCTATGCTCTCAAAGCAGCATCTCGAGGGAGATCGATCTAGTATGTATTGAACCCTTTTTGGCTACGAATTCTGTTATTTTCTTGGCGTCAAGGTAAACCACAATATAATGCATAACTCACAATGTACTTGTTAATTAGACCTTGGAAAAGTTTAGGATTCATAACAAAACTAAACTTTGTTTTCGGGCATAAGAAAAGCGTAATGATTAAGTTTGTCCTGAGTATTAGAAGTTTAATGATGGATTTGAGGTATTGTATGATTGTTTTTACTATCATCACATACTTTGTAACATGATCATCGTTCTTCCATTTTTCTCCTAAAATTATAATTGTTTGAATCACTTAATTTTCGATGGTCTAGTTGTTCCTACCATTTATGGTTGAAACAATAAAGCAGACCAAGTCATTAATCTTTAGAATCTATGTCTCCTTGGAAAGAAAACAATATGCTGAATATCTCTGAAAATTATAGTTTTATATCTTCAATGACAGAGTCTCCAAAACATGACACACTGCCGGCTTTTCTGTCTCCTGATTGTGCAATGATTGAGGTTAGTGCTCGGAAGGCCCTAGTGCAGAGTGATATGGTATCCTCTTGATTTCCTATTAGTTCATTTCCTTATTATTACTTTGATTTTCTCTGACACCGATTCCTGTATTACAGAGCCACTTTTCGAGAAATTTGAATGGACAAAGTTCGGATATTGTTTGGTCAGGCTCTGCATGGACATGTGGCAAACATCTCAAGCATTTCCCAGCATTTTGCCGCAGTGGAACCACAATAGCGGTGAGTATCAACATACAAAGAAAAATAAAGGTGGCAAGGATTTGGGAGGCTGGATTCCTATAAATGTAACTAAAGGCATAGATCTACTTGGCTAAACTCTAATCACATGCCAACACTTGATCATCTTTCATAATTTCAATTGGTAGAGAAAAAAATAATTGGTGCAATTGAATCAAATATCTACAGTTGGTGAAGTGCTTCAATATGGTTAGTTGCATGTGGACGTAATTATGTAATTAGTAATATGGTGCCAGCTCATCCTTATTCTGATGCAAGGAGGCATAAACTTTTCCCTGTTGTGTTCTAGCAATATCTTCGATTCATTGCTCTTTGAGACCAGACATAATGCTTTTGGTTTTGACTTTGTCATCTGTTTCTTCCATTGACTCTTATATCTACTGACATGTTTCCTTTTCAATCTGATGCTCAGGTTCAATCTTTTGTCTTTGTCATGGCTAAAGGAGAGAATCACTATCTTGCTTACTTGGAAGACATGTACGAGGACAAGCGTGGGCAGAAGAAGGTGAAAGTGAGGTGGTTTCACCATACTAAGGAAGTTAAGGGTGTCATTCCTGTAAGGAATCCTCACCCCAAAGAGGTTTTCATCACTCCTTATTCACAAGTCATTAGTGCAGAGTGTGTTGATGGTCTTGCAAGTGTCTTAACCCGTGAACATTATGAGAAATGTGCAGCTGTTTTCCCTGACGCTTTATTAGCTAGAGCTCATATATGCTCTAGGCAGTTCAGAAGTAAAAAAGTGAAGCAGTTTGATTTGAGTAAATTGCGTGGTTATTTTGATCAACCGATTCTCTCATGTTTAAGTTCCACTTTGTCCTCAGAACCTGACTCCCCGAGCCATGGCCTAAATGAGGAAGATGATGAAGAACTAAGTGCCGGTGTAAATGTAAAGCTGGGAAATAAGAGGTCCAGAACTATTAGCAGTAGTCAAAGGTTTGTGACAGATAATTCAGGAAATAGGATTTCTAGTAATCACTTGGTGTCTTATGAAGCTTCATGCAAGAAAATAAAATATGCTTTGTCTGGAAAGAGATTGCTCTCCCTGGAGCATGCCGCGAGTCAATATTGGCATGGGTCACTTTTCAAGTTTGATGAAAAGATAGAGATGCTGTGCCAAGATAGTGGGATCCGAGGCTGCTGGTTCAGATGTACAGTTTTACAAGTATCAAAAAAACAGATGAAGGTCCAATATGATGATGTGCAGGATGAGGATGGATATGGTAATCTTGAGGTATGTTTGTCATTTTAAAACCTTGTATTGGTTTAATCTTCCCATCAGTTGATCTCCATAGAAAATATAGTACGTAAAGAACAAATTTTCATCACAAACATTGGGGATTCCAGTTCATGGTTTGATTTGTTTTATCCCTTTGAGTATTTGCAAAAGTGAATCTATAGTTTAGCTATCCTAGGCTATACATTGGTACAATTTTAATAAATGTTGTTTTCTTTCCTCATAAATGTGTTTGTAGGAATGGATCCCAATTTGCAAGCTTTCTATGCCTGACAAACTTGGCATGAGGTACTCAGGTCGGCAAACAGTAAGGCCTGCTCCTCCTAGCACTCAAAAAGAACTTGCTCTGGAGATTGGGGTTGCTGTTGATGCATGGTGGAGTGATGGCTGGTGGGAAGGGGTTGTAACTGCGGTTAACAGCAGTGGTGATGACAATGTGCAAGTGCATTTTCCTGGTATGTTTATTTTGAACTATATATGTTGCATTTCTTTCTTGGTTACTGCGATCCTATTGGTCGTGCTCTTTTTCCCTCTTCAAATAATAATTTTTATGGTATTAGGTGAAAACTTATTCCTTAACGTGCACAAAAAGGATCTAAGGATTTCCAAAGATTGGGATGGGGACCACTGGATTGACATTGAGGCCAGACAGGATATACTCTCTTTGATATCTGATGCCATTAGCCCGGACATGGACATGAAAGTTTCCGTGTCCACTACTCCTGTCATGGATGCAAAGCTTGGTGGTGGCACAATTCCAGTTGAAGCTGTTGCTGCCAAAACTATTACTGAAATGGAAAAGCCTGAGTTAGCTTTTCAGGACTGTTCTGATAACCTCGTAGAAGAAACTGGTGGTAAGGAGCTTGCATCATTGAACGACGGAAAAGATGGGGATGCTAGTGATGGCAAGAAGCCTCCACCATCTGAAAATGGTAAAATTGCTAATGCCAGTGATAAACTAAACGGTGTGGATGGTAATAATGAAAACAACAACACCAACAGCGATGATGATAGGAAGGCAAATTAGAGGCAGAAAATGACATGGAGCAGAACTGTAAAAGTAAGGAAGTCATGGAGGTGAGAACCTAGAATGTTTCTGATGGGATAGATTCTTTTGTAATGGGGATGTTGGTACTAATTTCAACTAACATGATTCCAGTTTTAAGTTAAGACCTTCTGTAAATAGTGGTGCAGGCATAGCACGAAAGTTGCTGCCATTTGTCGTGTTTGACTTGGTGGCCTTGGTCAGTGTACAGAAACAAGGTTAGCATTCTGTGGTTTTTGTTGTAGCAATTATTTGTATCTGAAATAGGATTTGCACTTGAAGATCTTTGGTAAGGAGATCTTCTAGAATGGAGCTAGTTTTTAAGTTTCTTAGTCATGGACTCTGTCGTCTCTTGTAACACCAGATCTGTGTCCTCTTGTAATGGGAATTTTCATATTTTCTAGACTTTGTGTAACACCCCAATATCTAATTAAAAGAAAGTTGAGGACCAAATTGCAAGTTTCTAAAGTTTTCAGCTCGAGTTTAGAACCTGTGGGAAGTTTAGGGACTTAATCATGAAATATCTCATTTTTTCTTGTCAGTAGAGAAAAAAATGAATTATGGTGGCCGAGGGGTTTAAACACATGACCCTAGGGTGTTAACCCATAAAAAACCCTCGTTCAGGATCCAAGCACTTAAACCCTGAAAACTTAAACCCCAAACCAAACAACCCCATTGTCGCCTCTCTGGCCAGTCCCTCTAGTCGGTGGTTGAGTACACTGTCATTGTCACCGGCCTCAGTAGAGACCGACGATCCAACCCTAGCCCTCAGATCGCTCGAGCCTACTATCGTTAGGCGTGAAATCTTGAATACTCACCCGTCTCGCCCTCCTCGATTTGACGCTGCTGCTCATCGGTTGGAGACAACGTCGACGCCAACTGAAGCGCCGTCTCACTTCGATCGTAACATAGCTGTCACTCGCCAAGTGGTAGCGTCGTTCGCAGGGAGCGAACGGATGAAGCTTCATCGGGATAACTCAAGGCTTCCCTCGGTTTCTTGCGTTTTTTGGCCACCATGACCGTCCCCTTGCCTCACCGCCGCCACCACTACACTCTCCTCCACCGTACGCTCAAAATCCAACCCTTGGGCAACCATGTCATCGTTGTTTTTCCCAGCTATCATCGTGGGTAAGTTCGATCTTACTCCTGTTAAATTATTTCACAATTTAATGAAAAATTAGTTATATTTTTGGTCTGATTTCGATTGATTCTGGTAAGTGGACACACGTGGAGTGCTTGGTTGTCGCCCCTCGACCTGTCGTTGTTACTACGCGCTGCCACATGCATGTGTGGCTCATTCCGACCGTAGAACACCCTAGTATCGGTTTGAGTCAACTTGAACTGGTTTGAGTCAACTTGAACCGGTCTCAGTCAACTTGAACTCGGATCAAACTGAGTCAACCTGAACTGGTATGAGTTAACCCGAACCGGTCTGACCCGTTGACCTGCCCGTTGACTTTGACCAAAAAGTTAAATTTTTCGAAGTCATATTTGATGTTTTTTGATTTTCTTAGTCTTGTTTTGAGGTTTGTTTCACCAAATTCAAACCCGGTAAGCTGATTTTCAGCATTTTATCTTCTGATTCGAATAATTTTCCCGATTAAGTTTCGTTTTTGACGTAATTTAGTTTGCTATGTATCTGAGACTCTGTGGGACGTCGAATTCAAGTTCAAGAGCGATCGAATGAAGTTTAACTGGTTGATCGATATGGCTAAAAAATCAAAGTAATACTTTACTACCCTATGCATGATTTACGGTACATGTTGGTATTGCTAAGTGCATGAATGAATATGTTTTGTCTCATCTGTATAATTAATTATTTCTAAACTCGTTTCGAATGCTATAAAAAGTAATTAACGAAATAAAAATCTGATAGCTCGTATAAGAAATTAGAAGATTTATGAGGAACAATTCCAAGTTCTCTGATTAACCAGGGAAGCGGTTAACCTAATAACCCTTAAATTTTGATTATTCTTGTTAAAATTTAAAGCACCGAAAATACCTAGTTGAGAAATTACATAATTATCATCGAGAGGTAAAAATAACCCTGATTGACCCTGATTGAGAATTACCTTGAGAATTCGTATCTAATTTGATAAATTACTCATTTAACTATTAAGTTCCTATTTTGTTCGGAAGATTATGATAAACAGTTCGTAACATCTGAGAAGACACTAGACCCAAAATTTATGATTTATGAACATATACCCAAAGACTAACTTATCAAAAGTGCTCTTATTATCAGAATTGTTTGAAATGATTGAAATAAATGACAAGTTTGAATTAAATGGAAGACTGGACGGAAGAAAATTACTGAAATACCCTTGAACTATAAAATGACCAAAATACTCTTGAAGTGTGAAATGACCCAAAATGCCCGCAAGCCCTATAATGATTGAATACCCATAAGCTCTCAAATGAATAAATTTACCTTGAATACCAGAATGATTTAAATACCCTCATGATGTAACATCCCAAAAACCAGGCTAGTGACTAAAACATAAGTTTTTAAAACTTGGTGATCAATTTTGGAAAATTAAAAAGTTCAGGGATTTATTGGGAATATTTTATGAATGATTGTTTAGTAAATATTGAATGAAGTAAGGGTAAATTGGTCTTTTCTAAGGAAAGATTTTTATCTTCCATTTATAAGGGGATTTATTCATGCGGAGAAAGGAAGAATGGGTAAAAGAAAAGTCTGGAAACCATTGTTATTTTCTCCCTCGTTGCCGTGAGCTCCATTTAAAAGGTAAGTCTTGGTAAGTTGGTTATTTCTTGAGTTTTAAGTTTAGTTTTGATTCTTGGAGTGTTAAGAAAGCTTAAAGAAAGATTAAATTGGCTTAAAACTCAAAGGTGGATAAGTTATGAAAGATTAAATATAAAGAGTTTTAAAGTGAATTGTTAATTGAGAGGTTGTAAATGGATTTTGAGGCTAAATTTGACTTGTCATGAGCTGAAATAAGCAATTCAAAGTGTTAGAACTGAATATGGAACATGTTGATAAATTAATATGATTATTGAATTCAAGTGAGTATGTGAGATATTGGATATCATGAGTTAAAATGATATAAGTTGATTTGAATAAGTGTAGTTAAGTTTAAAGTATTAGAAGGAGGTTATAGAAGAAGAATTAAGTGAGTTTTGGTTGATTTACGAAATGGAAATAGAAATTTTGGGCATGGAGTATCAGTACTAGAAAAATAGTACAAATACTTCAAGGCAAAATCAGTTGAATTCAAAGGGTAGTATCGATACTGATTAAGGTATCGATACTGAATAGGGAGTATCAATACCATTTCCAAGATAATTCTCCAGAATATTAAAATGGTATCGGTACCGAAGGTGGTATCAATACCACTTAAGAAAAGTATCGGCACTATAGTGGGAGTACTGATACTATTGATCATGAAATGATAAATTAAGTGTTTTTTAGCTTAATTTATGATAATTGGTTATAAGTGATTAGAATTAAGATATTCATATCGATTATATGTATCGTGTAGATATCGAATGAAGCAAGTACCGGATGAGTCAACAAGATAAGATTGATCGAGAAAGAGATAAATGTATTGCTGGGACTAGTGAGGCTAAGGTGAGTGCATGCTATTGTGTATATGGTAGTATGAAAATATGACTCGCGATGAGTTTATTTCCACTATTTGATTGCATGAATCTGTGAATGTTAGTATGTGCTATATAGTAACTATATGAATACATGCATGTGTGGAAACTATGTGTTATATGTTATTTGTGTGATAAGGATATATGCAATTATATTATAACAATGTATAAATTATATGAATTATATTTAGGTGATTAAATGAAAAGTGAGATAAACTAGGTAGAGTTGACTTATATGATAATATGAGAATAGAATATAAGTTAGGAGATATTGACATAAATGAGTATACGAACATGTCAAATAAGCTATATAGGGAGGTATATATGTTTAAATGAAACTATGATCTAAAACTTGTTAGATTCCCATGTGATATGAGGTATAGTACAAAGATCTAGGAAATCATATGAGAATGTTATAGGAACTAGGTGATAATAAGTTATGAGAATATATGTCTATGTGACAAGCTATGTGAAACTAAACTAATGGAATATAATAAATTAGTATATAAGAAATATGATGTAGTGATTATGTGAAACTAGAATATATAAGCTATATGGCATTGATATATGGACTATATAAAAAGGAATACATGATTGTGTAATAATTTATAAGAATTGGTATAATGAAATTATATGAATAAGTGAAAAAGTAAATTAAGATATGTGATGTTGACATAAACTAGAATATAAACCAGTGATATAAGATATGTAAAACTGAATTGTTTACATATATGAAACTGTGGTATAAATTATGTGACGAGGAGTTATATGTTATATGATTTATATATGAAGAGGTGAGAACAATATATCAGTTATGTGATATGATTTATGTGACAATAGGAGAATGTGACATAGGCTATATGATAAGATATAGTTGATTACATTAACATGTGATATAAGTTACGTGTCAAAGAATTATGTGACTACATGTCTATGTGACATGTGGCTATGTATGCTACATGATATATGTGATCATAAGAGAACAAAGTATAAGCTATATTATATGATATAAGTGATTTCATGAGAAATGATATGAGCTCTATGAGTATATGTATATGTGATGATTTGGTTAACTATATGAATATGTGATAACAAGAGAAATTGATATGAGCTATGAGACTATACGAAAATGTTACATGAGCTATGTGATAAGAAGCTATGAGATTATATGCCTATGTGATGTGAGTTATAAGAATTATGATAAATGGTAAAGCCTATGTTACGTGATAAGACATCTAGGGGTATAGTTGGCATGCCAAGAGTCGAGGGTTCTACGTGGTCCTTCGGGACATATATGTGGTCATTCGGGATATTTCTACGTGGTCCTTCGGGACAATTTTATATGTCACTCAGTGGAAATCTATACGAGTTGTGGTGACAATATTTGTGCACAACCTCAATGTACTCACATATCTTTAGTTCTCACAAGTGTACCATGGGCAAATAAAAGACATAACATAATAAACCTTGTGTGATTGTTATGTGTGTTTCTGGGTGAAATGTGTTATATGAATTGTATAAATGATAAGTACAAGATTATATGATAAATGATATTAATGATAATAATATTGATAATGATAACATATGTGTATGTATGCAATTTGTTATATGTAATATTATATGATTTGTATGATAGGATGATATGAAATGTTCTGGTATTGTTACGTATTCAAGTTTCCATTTATACGTTTTATATGCCTCACTAAGTCAACGACTTAGCGTGTGAGTGTTTCACACGTAGGTTCCAAGAAGCAAGAAGAGGATCAATGAT